CATGGCTTTCATGGCTTTCATCTACTATGTAGGTAAGCTCTGCAGTTGATGCCTTGAACCTGTGTCTGCGCCACAGGGTGTAGGTGCACTCGCCGGGCGCACATGTCAAACAGGCACTTATTGGTCTCACTGAATTTCGTTAATAATCCTAGTAAAGTTACTACACTGTTGGATATTATTCTGCTTGCGTTACGCATGCGCACGCCGGCCGTGCAAGTATATTTACAAATTCGATAATATTATTCTGCTTGCGACATGAATTTACGGATGTGTGCGCAGCGGGTCCTGCAGGCATACGCGCGACGGGCGCGCAGGAGTACGCGTGGCGGGCGGTAAACTGACGCAAAACCATAAATACCGAGTATTTCTTTTCGTCGGGAGGGCAGCTGTACATGTGAGTTGAATGCTTCATTGAAATGAACATTCAATTCATTCAATAGCATAATAATCATAATAATAATGCTTGCGACGGCGCGCGCCGAGTGCGCGCGCCTGGCGCGCGCCGTGCGCGCGCCGGGCGCGCGCACGGCGCGCAGGTCTATACGTGCCAAGTCTACGCGTGTAGTATATTTGCACTATTCCTTAATATTCTGCTTGCAACGGTGTGCACCAGGCATGCTCTCGGGGCGCGCGCCGGGCGCGCGCCGGGTGCGGGCCGGCGCGCGCGCCGGCGGGTCCGGCGCGCGCGCCGGCGCGCGCGCCCGGCGCGCGCCCGGCCAAGCGTCTCCGGCGCGCGCCGGGCACACAGGTTATACGTAGCAAGTGTACGCGTGTAGTATATTTGCACTAATTCCATAATATTCTGCTTGCAACGGTGCGCGCGCGCGCGCGCCCGGCGGCGCGCCGGCGCGCGCCGGCGGCGCGCGCGCGCGCCGGCGCGCGCCCGGCGCGCGCCCGGCGCGCGCGCCGGGCGCCGGGCGCGCGCGCCGGGCGCGCGCGCTGGGCGCGCGGGCGGGCGCGTGCCGCACGTACAGGCGTACGCGCGAAGTGTAAGCGTGTACTATACTATATTTACACTATTCCATAATATTATGCTTGCAACAGAATTTACACATGTGCGCGCAGCGGGTTGCGACGGGCGCGCAGGAATGACATGTGGCGGTCGTTTATTACCACCCAAAACCAAATATACCCAGGGTGCGCGCGCCGGGTGTGCAGCGGGCGCGCGCCGGGCGCGCAGCGGGTGCACGCCGGGCGTGCCGGACGTGATAATACAATTCTTTAGTCTGTTTGCAACGTGCACAGGTCTGCGCGCCGGGAGTTGAGGCGAACGCGCTCCGGGCGCACAGGCGTACGCGTGCCGGGCGCGCAATCTTGTAGTGGTACCGGCCGGATGTTTAGGGTTTAGGGTTTATGCAAACATGAGCAGCCGGACGAGCCTCCAAACACAATGTCGATCTTGCCAGCGAATTTGGCATGAAGAAGGCTTGACCTCAGGTCGACGAGTGCAGGGTTTAGGTCCAGCAATTAGTAAGGCACGTCAAGCAATTTGTTAAGCAACTGAGACGTTTTTTCTCGCCATTCCTGGTTTATTGTGAGACTGTGTATCCGTACATCAGTCCCTTTTTAAGTTTTTTGTGAGACTGCTTATACGTACAGTCCGTCTATACGTTGAGGACTCTTCCATGCCTGCGAAGCAGAAACCAAAGCTGATCTCTGTACGTGTCCCGCATGCCCAGCAAAACCATTGACAGGAACCTCACAGCGAACAGTGGACGGATGACCTCGCAGTATTGAACTGCCATCCGTCTAGCATCCGTCACTGGAATCCGTTCAAACTCAAACGAGTTGGCCAGAATGCCCTCGCAAAGCCTTTCCATGGTTCCTCGATCAGGCAAATCCCAATCCCAGCCGGGAGGCTGCTCAACCAAGCCCCGCAATCTCTCTGCATCTACCGGGTTCACTTCCATTCGCAACTTTCCTTGGAGTACGTCGCATTGTCGAACCATGCGTACTTTCTGCATTGTTGGAATCCGTTCCTGTAAACCTGCTTCCACAATATCACCTGCAGAGGATCCGCGTCTGTTGTGCTTGGTTTGGAAGTGCTGTAGCAAACTTCGTAGTTGCCGATCGCTCAAAAAAGCCCGCTCCATTTGCCATCCCATTGACAAGTTCATCATGACACATCCCAGCACCAGGTCGGTGCAGATTCGCTGGAATTCTTCTCTCGTAAACATGTTTCTTTCCATTTCCGTAGTGGCATCGGCCGCGGAACCATCGCTATCATCCGAATGATAAGGAGTCGTTCGATCGTCATCGTCACTTCCTTCAGGTCCATGAAGCCTGCCAAAATCCGTTCGATCCATTGCTGCACTTCCGTGGCAGTACGTCGAACTGGGGCACTTCTTTCCTAGTCGTGTCTTTGACGATCTGCGTGTATGCGCATGTCAATAATACTGCCTTGTTTGCATGAGGACAATCGCCTCAGTCGGAGTACACTCGCTCAGACAAAAACGGTTCGATCGCGTTGAATCTTGAGCTGAAAAGCTGCTGCAGTTCAACATGTTGAGCTTGGAAGCAACCCATGGTGCAGCCGTCAAGTCTTGGAAGGCCGTGTGGCTTAGGCCGGGGCTCTTCGAGGATCTCGATGCGCAGACTGTCTCAGCCTGGCCGCCGACAGACTGAAAGTGAGCAGAGGGATACTGATGCCATGCATGACTTTCCTTCTCTTCCTTCCCTTCCCGCCTCCCTCACATCACTCCTTGCTGCCTGCTCATTCCTCGCATCTACAGTCACACCCTCATCTTGATCATTCCTTCTTCCTTCCCTGCTTCCTTCCTTCCTTGCTTCCTTCCTTGCTTCGTTAATTATTTTCGCTGTGTCTCTCTCTCTCTCCCTCTCTCTCTCTGCATCAGTCTTTGAGGGTCCGGCTCACCCCTGCTCGGGGTTCATCCTCACCCCTGTTCGCGGTTCATCCACACCCCTGCATGGGGTTCTCACGACCCCTGTTCGGGGTCCAGGCTCACCCCTTTTCGGGGTTCATCGGTACGCCCCTGTGCGGGGCTCTAACGACCCCTGTTCGGGGTCCAAGCTCACCCCTGTTCGGGGTTCATCCACACCCCTGCACGGGGTTCTCACGACCCCTGTTCGGGGTCCAGGCTCACCCCTTTTCGGGGTTCATCCCGCAGCCCTTTCGGCCTTGGTGCGGGTACGCCCCTGTACGGGGCTCCGACGACCCCTCTTCGGGGTCCAAGCTCACCCCTATTCGGGGTTCATCCCGCGGCCCATTCAGGCCTTGGCGCGGGTACGCCCCTGTACGGGGCTCCGAAGACCTTGATGTGGCCACCTGACATCCTGACAGGGCCTGCACGAATGCCTACAACTACTTTTGCCTGCTACCTTTTAGGGTTGAAGGTTAGTTTAGGGTTTCGGGTTTTGGATTTAGGGTTCAGGGTTTAGGGGTTAGGGGTTTAGGGGTTTTAAACCTCTTTCCTCATAATGCCTCCTTACCTACATGCCCGCCTACCTAGCTATCTATCTACCTACCTACCGACCTGGAAGCCTGCCGACGCACCTACACCTACAAGTACCTTCCCTCCTGCCTATCTACTTATCCATACCTACTTGCCTACCTAACTATACCTCTCTACCTACCTGTGTGCCCCTTCCTACCTGCAGCTTCTGGGCTTGAATGGGTGGGCGGGTTTGGGGGTTGGGTGGGTTTAGAGTTTAGGGTTCAGGGTTTAGGGCATGGGCTGGACGTTACGAAAGTTCAGATTCCCTTCATGTTTAATCATGAACATGCTAATTTTCAAGTTGTTCTGAATCGTACAAACAGCTGACTTTAGGGTTTCAGAACACAAAATCTCAAGCTTTTTGTTTCCGTTGAGCCACAAGAACACCAAGTTACATTTGTTTGGTTTGTTCGGCATAAACGTATTTTCATTTTTTTGGCAACTTTAATTTCCATGTGAACTACAAAACTTGGGACAGGCAATTATGTCAGTATGGCTTTGATTTTTCGATGTACATGTTTTCACATTTCGATCAAACCAAGTTTTTCAGGCATTGATTTTTCTATTGAGCCACAAGCACACATCTTTTTATACATGTCCAGCATCTCGCTTCTTCCATATAGAGCGACAAGAACACAGTTTTTCAGGTATGCATCTCCATTTGGAAGAGACCAAGTTTTCAGGTCTTGTTTTCCATTGAGCCGCAAGAACACAAGTTTTCACATGTCCAGCATGTCTTCCATTGAGCCACAAGAACACATGTCTTGCTACATTCCATGTCACATCAACATCATAAGTCCTAGGACAAGAACACACTAAGTCCTAGGACCCGGTTCCATAATGGAAAGGACCCGGTTAGCCCCGGACTGGCATATATGATGGTAGTAGTTATTTCGGCCTCCACATTAAGCCAAGCCCTAAACTAGGGGCCGTAAAAATCGGTTGTTGGGGATCTATGATGGTAATTATTAAGGCATCCATATTCAAACCCAAAAAAACCAGAGCCCCAGCGCGACCCTCCCACCGCCGCCAAATCAACAGCTTGAAGCCCAGTTACCGGAATACACTTAGACTATGGGGTTTAAATGCATAGAAAATCAAGGGCTTTTTTAGATAATGCTTAACGGTTTGGAATGCAGGGCCCCTTCTGGTTTGAGGTGATTTGTGGTTTAGGTTTGGGGTCAACGGCTCCATAGGTTTCCGGATCCCAAATGAACTTGTTCCAGATTGGTTGGGGATTGTGCGCTTCCCAGAGGCTCTGCTGTTCCTTTGTTTGACTGATTCGGCCTTAGTCAGAAGAAGAGAGTTTGGGGGAGTATAGTGCGTGTAACTATCTATAAATATATATATATATATATATATTTATTTATTTATTTGCTTATGTATTTCTATATACAGTAGGGGCTGACGCGGATGCTAGTACTGGTCATTCTCTCTCTCTGTCTCTCTCGCTATCTCTGTTAATCTCTATGAACGGGAGTGTCTGGGCTTCCTGAAAACTAACACGTACATCCAAACACGACGAAACAACGGAACCCCGCGGTCCTTGAAGGCAGGTCGATAATCGCACCTGGCTCAAGTGCTCCGGCCCTGTAACCTTCATGTGTGGACTATTCGCAACTTACTAAGGCACTACTTAAAGCGAGATCCTCATTGAGAGAAGCAATGCAGCTTTTTCTGTGTATCATTTGTTGTCAACAAACATGCGTGAATTCAATGTTTCCACATCGAATGCAAAGCCATCTAGAAGCTTGATTTGTGGGTGAGGGTAGGACACCGGAACCAAGTAAGAAGGTATGAACTTTCGGACTGCCAGCATTGCACTTCTGTAAATATGCCTCGACTCTACCTACCGCAGCCGCCGAACTGTGTACGCGCAAGGACATCGTATCGGGGTTTTGGCCACACGGCACCAACAGGGCTCGTGGTTGAAGGTGGGCAGGTTGCTCAGGAGGAATGCAACACAACGGGGGGTTCAGGGTTTAGGGTGTCGTGGCAGGAACATGTATTGCGGAAAGCTAAGGGGAAGTGCATTCGGGCCGGGCTCGTGACTCATTTCAACACTTTTGTTGCAGTTTTCGGCCTGTGAGTGATGGTACGGGTGCTCCGTGCTGTGCCGGTTGGGTGACTAATTACAGTTGATCATAAGTTAGATATTTACAAGTAGGGGACAACCTGTATAAGCCATCAACGACGCAGACGCGACAGGCTTCGCGTTGCTCCAGAATCCTCTATGTCTTGCAAATATGCGGCACCCGCTATACCCTTTACCTGACTTCTTCGAAAAGACTTGTGCAGACTCCACTTTGGACAAGAAGCGAGCATGAGCCGTCGTCGTTGGTCTTGCAGCTAGAGTTCTGCGCACAACAGTACGGGAGGTGGCTCAGCGGTGCGAAGCTGTCCTGGCAACGATCGAGACAACAGAAAGCTGCAGCAGGACGACAAGCAACCGTCAAAACATGCACACAGGCCTTGCAACCTGTATCATTTGGGTTGCATCCGGCAGTTGGCTCTTGCAGTGTCAGCCGCACCGTGTTCTGCGCATCATTGAACTTGAGGTATCCTGCACAGGCGTAGTTGCAGCACAGAGACCCAATTTTTGGCCACGAGAACCCGTGCCCTAAGTTGCCCTAAACCCTCAACCCGCGGCACTTCCGTGGCCTAAGTTGCCGATAAGCTGGTAGACCAGTATGTAGACGACAATGAAGAACATCAGCGTGTAGTGTAGCAAGCCTCGGAGGCATCCTACATCCACCAGGCTGTCATGACACTGGCGCCTGGTGCAATGCTTCATAATTGAATATCATATACTGTAGTATGAACTAATATAACATGATATGATATGATATAGCATAACATCAAAGGCCCAAGTGAGAGGCCAAGCCGGGCATCACGGATGACAATGTACTTGGTTGTACCTTGGGCAAGGCATGCAGCATGAGCATGCGAGTTTGGGTCTAGGATTTAGGGTTTAGGGCTGTGGCAGGGGCTTGTAGCAGCCAAGGAGCTGTATGCAAAAAGATTATGAAGGTCCACGCCACAACAGGTATCTGGAATGCGACAGCATCGACACCATCTGCATGACGCCATGAACGTCAACTATCGGACCAGTCTGATCTACCACTTCCATGCGAGTATTGCGAAACAGAACAGAACCCTGTCTGTGCACTGCTGGTTTTGCTCGCGCAGATGCAGGCTTCCTGGTAGAAACTCGAAGCCTACTCGAAAGGACCTCCACTCACGGAAAACCCTAAACCCTAAAACAGCAGCCAGGGTCAATTAAAGTCTTGCTCGCCCTGAGCAAGAAGATCCAAGTCGTGGGCTGCACTAAGAAATGGGTGGTTGTGAAAATTACTGTCCCTGTTTGGCTACCCTAAAATATTAGGTGCCGTATTATAATAGGGACCCAAAAAGGACCATAATTTTGACAACCACCCAAATAGCACTTTCTGCCTCTAGCCAATGTCTGCGCACATGTGTGGTTGAGTGGTTCGGCTGCGAAGATACAAACACCTGACGTTCGTGGTAGCCGCTCCTCGTCCCTAAACCCAACCCGGTTTAGGGTTTAGGGTTTAGGGTTTTTAGGGTTTTTAGGGTTTAGGGTTTAGCCCTAAACCCCTGAGTAGTGGCCAGGACAAGAGTTGGAAGCCTAACCATCGGTTGATTTCGGCTCTCACTAAGCTTGGGGACTTATGGTTCAAGGTTTGGCATAGGGAGCTTTTGAAACATGAGTTAAACCCTAAACGTCCTTGAGCATGTCCAACCTTCTCCTTTCGATCTAGCAGGTGTCCTTGTTCTTCACATGGCAGGACGCTTCTTATCGTAAGAGCTACAGCAGGTCTGGTCCCAAAAACACAGTGGCAAGAATGACAAATTAAGGATGGCAGTAGTCACGTCGGTGGTCAGGCATGGACAACGATGATGAAAAGACTTAAAATCCTACACCAACACCCGACGGGCCCAAAACCGCACATGCTAAAAGGGTAACAAGACGCCATCTGCTAAGGTTTCTGCTCTATGACTCTGTTCGCTTTCCGGGGACATTTAGCATCGATTCGATCAGGTAGGCTGCTAACAAGAAGGATTTTGTTGGGGTTGTAGTTGTTGTCGTATTACTGATGCATGATCTTCTAGGGGTGCCTGCACAAAAACTGCGCCGTGTAGCAGACGAACAAAACTGCTCCCGAAGCACAGTTCAGCATGCGTGCATGTACAGCTAGCTCACGAAGCTGCTAAGACGACAGCCTCGATGGTTGGAGTAAGGATCGAGATGGCTGCGCTTCACTAACCGATAAGTGCTCTGCAGATCCACTGCCAATGCCCGCAAGCATGAATAGAGAGTTCATTTTTGCTTCATCTTTGGTTGCTGCAGCGCTAGTGAACAAATCTACTCTTAAGTCGAAACTGCTCAGCGTTGAGACTCGTTTAAGAACACGTAACATGACCTCTGCTTATAATACGTCGGAGTAGGTCGTTGGAATGGTGTCTTCAACGCAATGTCAAGGAAAGCCTGCCCAATAGGGGGTTCACGGCAGTCGTCTGCAGGACGCATATCTGCGTGTTTCAGCTGGGAAAAAGCCATGCTCGCTGCAGTTCAACTACAAACATAATTTGACTCCCCGGGCTAGAGGTGTTAACTATGGAGCCTCAGCCATCTTTTCATCTCTCTTGTACTCCTTCTTGATCTCCTTGCTCATCTTCTTGACGATCTTCTTCATGTACTCGATGACAGCATAGAGAACGGCATTGCAGAACTCTCCTTCAGTCACCTTCTCGCCACCGTCACTTTCCTCCATCTGCATGGCCACGATATGATCCTGGAATGTTTTGATGAACTTCCTCTCGCTGCCCCATCTTGTTTGGTCTTTTAGAATACGGTGCAGGTACATTCTCTCCATCTTGGACAAGTGCTTGTACGGGAAGTCGGAGCAACATCCCGTCTCAACATTCACCGTCTTGTAGAGATCTTTGGCTTGTTTGAGAACTTCATACTCAGCCTTGGAAAGAAAGAGCCACTTGAAGAAGGCAAGGATGTACTTAATAGGTGCGCACATGCCGACCCAGAAGCAGCAAGTCCCGGTTGGCTTGGCGGACTTTTTGTTCTCGTCATCACTGCTGGAATTCGAGCTGTTCTCTGGGTGAACCAGCATCGTGAAGCTGGTGGCTAAGGAACGGTCGTGGGCGCTCCAGGCAAGTTATTGCCGGCTGAAGTCTTGTGCCAAGAAGGACAAGAAATCCCAAGTCAAGAACTCACACTTGTTCCAAAAACACCCTGCTCAAAAAGCTGAAATGTGTCTTTCATGGCCAACAGCTACTGGCACCCGGACCAAAGTATCGTGGTCACTACCACAGTATCTTCCATGATCAGTCCATGATTGATTCAGTACTTCATCGATTGAACCGGAACAACACCGAATGTTAATGCTTGCTCAGCGAGGACTGGCCAGTCATCCCCGTCCCTATTTCTTCGTATGCGGCGCCACATGATGGACACGCGTCTGGAGATCTGGTGGAACAACAGAACCTAAACCACGCAGACACAAGTCCAAAGAAGATAGGCCTAAGCGTACCAAAGACGGCTGCCAGTCGCGGATTACAGTATCTGCGGATGTTCCCTGAAGTTACTTCTCGGCACGTGCTCTCAAATTGCGAGGGCTTCCGGAAAGCATCTACGGAGCCCTGCTATTCAACATGGGAAAGCCTCTAAGCTTGGGTCAAACAACTGTGGCTTTCGCGGCTCTTGAGATTCCTGCCACAGAACCATGGAGGCATCATGGGACCTAGCAAGTCGGGTATAAGTACCTTGAACGGGTTATGAGTATTTGCAATCAGTATACTTACCCGAAAATTACCCCGATAGCTACTGAGTTCCATGATTCTTCAAGTATGCGGTGCCCACTACACGATGAGTCTCCGAACACCGGTGCCGAAGAGCTGTCCAGGCCTTTCTTTTCACAGCAAGGCAGTGCGGTGAGGTAAGAGATGTGAGACCTGGTCTTCTTAAGAGGTTTTTGGATCCCATTATACTAGAAGTATAATAAGGAACCCCCAAAACAGTATTGGTACTCATTTAGGCCCCTATAGTAAGAGAAGTGAGACCTGTTCTTCTCGAGAGGTTTTTAGGTGGTCCTGCTCAGACACACGATTCGAAGCTTCCGCTCACCCTGGCCAAGCTGGCCTCGTCAGAAAGTGCCAGATTAAGAGTTCCTCTGCCCACAACACACAAGCAGTGCTTCTTCAACAACCCCTTGAAGTGCTGTTAATGATAAATGAACAAGAACACGACTCCCGGAGGGTACTAAAGAGGGCTTAAGCTTTTGAGCCTTGGGGGACGTTGGTCCACTTGCTGTTGATAACCTCACAGCACGCAGAGCTACGCACGCACTCGACGAAAAGGCTTGCAAACGAAAAACGTAATCTTCCTGACACTCAACCCTAATCACCTATAAAGCCCTCGTGCTACCCATAGGCCCCGAAGTAGTTTCTTTTTGGGGTTCATATATTGAATTCTATAAGGTAATCCCAAAAAGGAACTACTTTGGGGCCACTGGGTAATGACCTAATGCACACCCTTTTCAGCACGGCCTTGGATTGATGTGCCAGCACTAGTCCTCAACAGCAGAGCCCTCTTCATTGCAAGTCCTCTTTCGAGCGCGGACTGAGCTGTATGCAAGCCCTTAACCCTAAACCCTAAGCCCTAAATCCTAAAGCCCGAGACCCTAAGTCCCTAAATCCTAAGGCCCTAAACCCTAAGCCCTAAACCCTAAGCCGTAAACCCTTAAGCCTTCCAAACGCCTGTGCCCAGACCGCGCTCTTCACGGAGCCCGTCTCTTCGCCGTGACATCATCTTGCCTGCTGGCGATTGCGGGGTCCCTTTCCCTCCTGCTTAGCAAGGACGAAGCCCACATTGCAGGGAGGGTTTAGGGTTTAGGGGTTTAGGGTTCAGGTAGGTTTGGCTGGTGTATATCCAGGCTGTAAGGGCTTAAACTGATGTGATCACAAACAAGGTTTGGCCTGCACTTTATGCAACTGTGGTCGGCCTCGATTGAGCTTAGTTCCAATGTAAGTATGCCCATCTGTCTGAAATCCATTCCGAGTTGGCTTAGTTGACTTAGCGGTTGTTTTAGAGTAGTCCTAATTGACTTTCAGCCAGTTCATGCGAGTTCTTACTCGGTGTTATCCTTGCTTCAACTGACAGGAATAGTTGTTCACACCGCCGCTATTGGCTTCATCTGTTCTTGACTGCTGTGCAAGCAATGCCCAAATTCTTAGTACTCCTCACTTAAGGTTTCGCCCGCTTTTGCCAATGTTCGTTGATTGCAATCCGTGTCTAACTGACCTTATTTGCACACGAAACAAGCTTCTAATAAGATTTTCAATCCTAAACCCTGACCGTGGGCTTTGAGGAGGTCGACTGAACTGGGAGCGCCTCGTCTGGGGAAAAAGCACAATCATAAACCCAAAGTCCTTTGGGGCTTCAAACCTTCTAGTGTGGATGAAAAAAATCCTGCATCACCCCTAGTAAGGACTATACCATAGCTCCTATAGTTTAGGGTCATTAAGGTAATGCAGGATCTATATCATCAACCGTAGTGTGGAGCAAGCCCAAAAGCCTAGAGCCTTTGTGGCTTTAAGGCTTCTGCTTCAGCTTAACAAATCGAAGGCCGGGCGCGTGTTCAAGAACTTACGCCAGTTCATGGAACTTCGATATCTGAACATAAATTCTCACCCCAGTCAATTGGCTTCAGTTGGTGTTGGATTAATCCTACTTTGCGCTTAGCTACTAGTTCCCATAAGCATATACGTACAAAACTTGTCACTTACTGTGCCCTCCCACAATCGGACTCACCAGATGACTTCATGTTTTAGTCAATTCCACGCCGATGTCTAGCTAACTTCAAATTCTTTGACTTCCAGGTAATGAGTCTTGACCTGAAACCCTAAACCCCTAAATCCTAAGCCCTAAGCCCTACACCCTAAACCCTAAACCCCTAAACCCTACACCCCTAAACCCTCAACCCCTAAACCCTATACCCCTAAACCCTAAAACCCTAAACCCACTGAGTCGAATCGTGCTCCACAAATGCTCT